TCTCTTGGGAAAAAAAATTCAGATCACAAGAATCTGTTGATCCTATGTACCAATTTATACCAAAGCACTCTACAGCTAACAGCAATGTGTCCCATTACACAAGTGTATAGAATTTCCACAATAGTGAATTTATAAGATAAAATACAATGGCCATTTTTAAATTAAAGTTCTCCCATTTGTTTCAAAAGACATAAATAAAAATGGAACCTGCTATGATAACCCAATGCTTACAGATCCCTTAAATTTATCCAAGCATTTTTCATTATTTATTCATCCAAAGTACATTTGCACTGTATTTGTAACTGGCAAACTTCTCTTCAGGCTGCCAATGGAATACTATATGTCCCCCGCCCCCACCCCAATCAGCACATGACTCAACATGATGCTTCTATTGCTATACTACATGGTTATTAAATAGTTTATATTTCTGTCATGAAAATGGAAGCACACAGCATATTTTGCTAGGGAAAGCTGCCAATATGGCCATCTGGCTTGCCACTATGTGCACCATTCTGCATCTACTCTAGTCTTCCTATCCAAGATCCTTTAAGCCAAGGGTCCCCAACCCCCACTCTGTGGACCGGCACCAGGCCATGGCATGTCAGAAATCGGGCCACGCAAACAAGCCGAGCCCCATCCGCAGGATGCAAGCAGTATACAAAACCACATCCCCTCCGGTCTGTGGAAAAACCTCTCTCCATGGAACTGGTCCCTGGTGCCCAAAAGGTTGGGGGCCACACCAGAGGCTTAGTGACTGAGAACTGGATCTTGTACAAAGGAAGTTGTACATTTAAAATATCAGCCTCTTCTCATGTTGACCTATCATGCATGAAAAGGCCATAACAGATACCAAAGAACAGACTTTGTTAGGGAAACATTTCCAGTCTTGCCAAAGAGCTCTGAAAAAATACGTTCCACTTGAAATCCTTGGTAGTTAGGGAGATATTTCAGAGCTGCAAGGTTTGAATTGCCACAAGACAGGATCTTTTGTTCCCTTTGCATCTTAAGAATCTGATCATAACTTCTTTGTGCAGTGGCCCTGCAATCCTTTCCAAAAACATTCTAGTCTGAAAATATATTGACCTCAAGGAATTTTGTCTATTTTAATTTCTGTATAAATGAGGCTGATGTAAACACAAATAATACTGGAAGCCTGGTATAATAATAAATATTATTATCCATATATGCACAACACAGTAATTTTTGCAAGCTTCAGTTTAACAAGATGTAAGAGCAACTCTATGCTACTATCCAGGTTTAATCACAAGCAAATCTCTCTAAGTGTGTATGAGATTGCAACTCTTAATTTCCAAACACAATTACTGAATTTTAGTTAATGATTTCTAGATATGAAGAGCTAAGACCTCCTTGCTTAATTCTTAATAAAGTGTCAAAAGAAAAACAATCAGTCCTTTTACATATAGATTTCCAAATGATAATTATTTATATCTCAGCTAAAATTAATATATAAATATTAAGACATTAAGTGATGCTTACATGCAAGATAAAGTACATCATATATTCCATACGCTGAAATCATCCAGTGAATGGCATAGACTACTGCTGCATCCCAGTTCTAATAAAGCTATACGTACTTTCCATGTACTAGCACCAAAAATGTTTTCAACTTGCCATAAATCCATGTTTTGGGATCTGTTAGATTAGATCCATACTTTAGGCATCCTGTTTTGGAAACCTCCTCTGGATATTTAGAATTCCACAGGCATGTCTATGCAGGAAAGAATCCAAAAAGCAGAAGATCTCTTGTTATTACATGAATAATGCCACAAATAACAACCACATCAATGTGGCAACATAAAAAGAAGACAAAACTTTAGCAAGTAAATTCAGATGTTAATAACAACTAAAAAAATAGTACTTTTTTCCCTGTGAAGTTACACAAAACCTGAATTTACAGGTTTTATATAAAGTACCTCGCCTTTCCAGACCCCAGAAGAGGCAGGAATTTAACAGCATAAGCAACTAAATAGAATGAAACCACCTCTTACCATTATTCTAATCCTCTAAAATATTTCCTTAGAAATGCAGCCTTCTCAGTAATTCTAGAGCCCCCTCTATGTGACTTGGTGTCAGGAAGAACATAGCATTGCATCCAAGAAAAAATCAGCAATCAAAACGCAGGCAGCTTTGAGGCCAAATCATACTGTCAAAATGCACTCACTAGGATGTCCTTATTTTTCATACTTGTTGACAGTTCTTTTTCCCATGTAGAAGCAGCTTCCTATTAGAGCAGCATGCTTCCAGTTTTAAACACACAATTGTTCTAAATTGATATTGCCAGATCCTGCGAAAAATTCTATTTACCAATGTGCAGAGCCAGAGGCCTGGCTCTCGGATAAAGATTCAATCAATCGGCATGTAGATCTCTGTCCCGTGCAACAGACGCTGAGAGCGTGGAGTATGCGTTGCTACCCCACCCAACGAAGACAATCTAGTGGACTGCCGTGTAATCAAGGGAATGAGGTTACAACTATTCCTCAGCAATCCCCGGACGCTTTGCTGGCGTCTAGCCAACAGCTGATGAATTCTCCGACCTCGGGGACAGGTATGCGTTTGCAGAGAACTGGGAGGCTTTCGAGTAGTGAAAGACAGAGGGCCGACATAGCAGGAGACTCCCTGAGCCCTCCGTTGCATCCTGAGAAAACATCACCCCCTGAACCAGCAACTGATACCCAGGATACCCGTGTGAATACCGGGTGTCCGGGTTGCGGAGTTACTGAGGACGATGCCAGGAATGGCACTGAGGAGAGACTGTCCGAATGTAGAACTGGTGACCGTACGATGACAGCCTGGTTGCACCCGGGGGAAGAGGGAGGTGCTTTACCGGCCCGTTTGGCGCGCATGCGCAGAACTACGGACAGAAAACATTTACATCTGTACATGCAACATGGAGATCCCTCTGTAGGAGATAAATACAGAGGGTTAGCGCTGAGCAAGAACTGGGGCACCAACAGGATTCACGGGGGACCCCCAGGACGGTATAAATGTAGGGAGCACTGGGAAGAGAGGTAAAGGAAGAGGTATCAAGAGAGAGGATACATACATAAATGCTGCTCACGTAAAAAGGGAGAGGGAGATAGAAGACACAGAACAGAGAGAAACACCCGGTTTACAACCTAATGGGGCGGGAGGAATTGATTGGGGCTTGAATGAAGTGTGTAATAGGGGAAAGGGAGGAATGAGTAAGCTGCAATTAGGAACCCCTAGTGAGGAGAATAATGTGAAAGGGAACTGGGGAGGTACGGAGACAAGGTTCACCCAAAAAAGGGGGGGAAAGACTCCGCTTAGCCCGAGAACCGGTGATGAGGGGATGAACGGTAATATATGTATAGGAAAGGGGAACAGGAAAAGGTTGGATACAGATGTTAAGGGTACGATCAGAATGCAACCCAACCAGCTAGGACCGATGATGAGGTCCAGGAGCCGGATGCAAACGCTTGTCAATCTTATATAAGCTTCTCCCATTAACTAGCATCAAACCCTGATGATGTCGGAAGTTTTCCGACAAAAGCTCGGTATTTATTAAAGTTTTTCCAGTTTGGATTTTTTTCCTGGTGTTCGTGTTTTAATTCTTTTTATGATATGGATATACCCAAGAATCGTGTTTTCACTGACATTATTAACAATTTTAATTTTGTATATAAATTATTATTCATTTCTAGCCAAAGAAAAAACTGTTTACTTCAGTCTATATAGTCAAACAGCAGTAACCCTAGTTAAACTATTTATGGCAGGAAGTATAATATTGTATTGTAATGTATTGATTAAATAAGAGAAAAACTTTCCCAAATGGGAAGTTCCCTATTTAACCATGAGATAATAATGTGCTTATTTAGTTCCTTGTTTTATTTTTCTACCATTTGTAATTTTTAAACAAGTACTACCTACCTAAAGTGTAAATATCTGCAAAGGAAGAGCCCAAAGGAAGAGATCTGCACAGGGCCGGCCATGCAATAGAAACTGGTTGCTGGTAAAAGGGGGATGGAGTAGTTTTCCTCAGCTCTTCCTCATTTATTAACTAACAAAAGCCATTTCAACCTTTTCCAGCAGTGGCAAAAGTTTCTTGTCATAGTCTGCCAAAATTTTGTTCTAATGAAAAAGTGAGCAAATTACACCCACCACTAATCAAATAAAAAAATGCCTCCATTCTGGATATACAAAATATTGCTTCACATGCAGCTTGTTATCCTTGCAGTCATTCAATCTTTCTCTCCTTAATGGATTTTCTATAGTAGGAAGGGAGGCAGAGGTGACAGTGGGTGACACAGAGAAGCAGCACTGGCTGGGCCTTCTGTGGAAATCAACGAACGGTACCAAATGTCCTTGCTGGGACATACCCCTAGTTACAAAGGCAAAAGGATAGGCTGCATTATACTTAGCACAAGTCCCACTGGAATTAAAAATGTGCCACTGAACTCTTGCAGAATTGTGGCAGGACTCTGCAGTTTGAAGGGTTTGGGAAAACATGCTTATCAAATTCCATGCAGATGCAGTTAACAGAAATATATTGTGAACAATAACCCTACATTCTCTTTAACACAAACATATTTTGCATTGAGGGGCAGTTGTGGTTGTTGTTGGCGCTGCCTTATTCAGGCTTCTGGGAGCTAACTTTAGGTTGACCTGGAGGTCAAAATACATGCAGCCCTATTAACAGGACGTTGACCACCTTTGGCCTCAAAAATATCATAACGACTCTTAGCATCACCATGAGAACTCCACAGGCTGAAAAACATTTTATATTATCACAGCAGCCCATTGCAGAGGAAGAGTAAATTAAGGCAATTTCAAAGCATGAAACTGAGGAGGTCTCTGATTAGTATAATACAGAAATATAGATTTGAGACAATGTTCGTCTGTTGTGGTAGCAACCAATTGTTCCAAAGAAAGCAAACTGAGAACCAACATTAAGAGCATAGTGAACCCAAAACAAAGAACTGAGGTGGTGGATGTGAGCTATATACAGTGACACATTAAACTCATCCTTTAACTTCACTTTTAATGACTCATTGGATAAAATGAAGAAATTGATGGGGAAACTTAAGGAGATGTACAAAAATAATAAAACATTACAATACATTGAAAAAAAAACTGGTATAAACACACATTCCACATGCTTGATTCACTTGCCCAGTGAATCCTTAAAAAAATAAAATAATTTAAAAAATAAAATAATTAGGAAGCCATTAAAATAAATAGGAAGTTCCAAGATATCCTTCTCCCAAAAGCAAACATCAAAACAAAGCAGGTTATTTATACCAGCTTCTTCTTCACTCTGGATTCTGGAAATTATGGAAAAGTTAAATACACAATCACTCATTCTTTCTTTCTCTCTCCCTTCTATCACTTATGTTTAAATAAAAAAAGCAATGAAAACAAATCACAATGTAATATATGGGCTTCAGCTTACTGACAAATGTATGGCTCTGCGCAGATATGAAAGTAATGTAAAAAATAAAGCAGATGACCATTCCTTAAGAGCATCATTTGCAGTTAGCCTATTTTCACATAAAAATTGGGTACCAAGTGGTCCAGAAGAACCAAGCAGCACATCAAGTGTAAGATGGGTGACTTTATCAATTAAATAAAATAAATAAATTTAAATAACATGCACTGTGGTTCTCCGAGTCACTGCCAGCTCTCTGCTGATTTGTTTTCCAAATGTACAATTGCCACAGCCAGCCTATAACAAATCAACATAATACATGCCCATTTCTAGAGACAGTAACTTGGCAGTTTGAGGGGAAGTAGAGAAAGAAATATAAATGTGTTCCGCTGCCTGCACAAATTAAGTATTTGATATATACCAGTACCAAGCCAGATTTATAATTACAGATAAAGCTTATACTATCCTTTCATTATAGCAAAGAAAACATTAAAAACAAGGTGTAAAGATGGCTTGTTTCAATTAATCATAGTAAACACTGTTGCTGCCTGGACTGGAATATAATGCTAAACTATGGTTAATTGAAAGCAGAAGTAAAAACTTCCAATATTCCCTTTGCTGTATAAAAAAAAAAAAAAAAGGAATACTGAAAGTCCAAAGATTGATTTAGAACTATTTTTGGAATATTTTCATTACTTCCAAATGTTGCATGTTAAGTGGTTAAAGCATATGCCTGGCGCTTTTTAGTGCAGAATTTAAAAGTATGCAAGAAATCTCACTTTCAGGATGAAGTATTCAAGTTCTTACTGATTCTGCTACAGTACTCAGAGCCTTAGTATATATACTATTAGAATATGAATGTTAAATGCAGCAAAGAGTCAGATTCCAGTTCTATCATCCAAATGCAGGAAATGTCTTCTACAAGGTATGAGCAAAGCAATGTACATTATTTAATATTAAAGGTGATTAAATATTTAAGCTTTATGGTGTTACACGTGGGAAAATCAGAATCTGAATTAATGATTTGTGAACAACTGTGTTGTGAACAAATATTCAACTGTGAATATTTCATCACTGAAAGCAATTTCTCTAGTATTTGCACATATTAACATAAGACCTAGGCAGGTTTTAGCACTGGGCTTACAGAGGTTGTAAGGACAATTACCATGCCGTGCTTCTAAAGTGGAACTGGCTTGATTTTGAGCAGGGAAAATATTCATAAAGCGGTTTATTAAATCATCTTTCTAAGCTGCAAAAAGCTCTACAAATACCTGTCCACAGGCACGTTGTCCTAAGTAGTTTGTGAACTTTAAATAGCAATGCCATCTATTTCTACCAGAAAGAAAAATCACTTGAAGTCCAGTAATAGATACAAGCTAATGAAATCTTTCAATGCAAAGAGAATGCAATCAATGCAGACAATAATAAATATTTCAAGTAAACTACTTTTGGTATAAGACCAGTTGGTTCCCTAACCAGTTCATAATTAGAGTTTAGCCTTTGATTTTCTTAGCATTCTGAACTCCAGCTACTCAGGAACAAAAGATACATATACTTTTTTTTGTACTAAAGTATTCTCCCTGGCAATGAACCAGTGCCTTAGAAGCATTCATTCCATTCCGGGAAAGTGTGTAGGTTGTCACATTTCCCCTTCAGATCATGTATTCTGACAGGACAATTCAAACATGTTGCAGGCCTCTTCCAGGCTCTCATCCATATTCAGTCTTCTCCAAAAAGATTTCTGCTTCATCTGTAGCTCTCTCCTCACACACCTGGGGCATGGAACGGCCTTCTCTTTGCATTCTGAATGGAAGACAGCACTGCAGCTTTCACACCTGTAGGTACAAAATGAGATATTTATACATTTATACTCAGGTTTCTACCTTTTCTCTGCTATCAAAAGATCATCTCTCTAACATTAGCAGAATCCCTAACTCCTAGTTTCCTGGGATCAGGTACATTACTTCTGACAGCCAGTCATAGAGAATGTTGGGTACAAAGGATGCCCAGATTCCTATAGCCATTTTTTTCTAATTGTGGTACCTTGCAGATATAGGGATTTCAACTTCTAGATTTTCCCAGCCAGCATGCCCATTGCTGGGAATTCTGGGTTGAAGTCCACACATCGGAAGTTAGCTGAGATTGAGACAACTCCATACTCCACTCTTTTTCTACAGTGTGCTTATTTAGTGTACACATAATTCAGTAAGACAATTGGGCTGCAACTCTGCATGTCATCACTGAAATCAGTGGTTTATGTGCAGTTTAACTACATTCAGGATTGTCTTGTCTTACTGATTTGATCTTTTATAATGTTATTTTATCAGATTTTGAGTCACCCCGAGTTGCATGACAGCGAGATGGGTGGCATATATATTTAATAAAATAAATAAATAAATAAAATAAAAATGTTCAACATTTGCTTGAAATCTCTTGTTGACCTTACAAGATTAATTAAAGCATGCTACTCATTCTTTACTGGATTCAAAAAACATATTGTCCACCTAAGTGTGAGTTTAAACAATAGCCAAAGAAAACACTTACGACTGTAAAATTTTAAACCATCTCCTCTGACACTAATGCTGACTATAAAGTTAATTCCCCTTTCATTAGTGACTTGCAGTTCCTTGAAATGGCTGGAGACTAATGATTGATGAGAATGTCATTTTGTATTCATTCATGGCCTCTCCCTTTCCTTCTTTTCTCATTCAACTGGAAAATGTAAAAGCTTATCAGGAATTTCTGTTGAAATGAATGCCCAGAGGATTATGAAAGAGTGAAACACATCAGCCACTCCTATCCAGATGCATTAAATGTAGGGATAAGGAAAGGAGAAGAGAATTTTTAGATAATAATTTAAGAACTACTACTTTGGTAAAACAATTTGTGGGGGAGAAAACAACCCATATTTTCTGTAACATCCATAATCAGCTAATTTCTTAGTAAAAGCAAGAATGGGATGATCAAAAACACTACTGGAAGAACAGACTGGAATTCTTAAGATCCCATTAGCTTCCATTTTCTAAATTCCCAAAATATTTTATAAACCACCATATTGCACATCTACTTAGAAATAACTCTTTCAGATACTTGATCCAGTATGCAGTAGATTATCACTCTTTTTACCAGTTAAGATCTAACTGATTAATTGCAAACTGAAACTTTCTTTTCCTCTTTATGCTCTAATCTGGAGGAATGGGATTAAAATGGGTATTAAAGGAAATTTAAATAAACAGTATGAAAAATGGAATTCTGTTGATGCGGCACAATAGAGTTGGCTTTTCAGAAGAAAGACGACCCATTAGGTCTTATTTTGGGGGGATGTCTTATTTTGCAGCTGCCCACCCGCTCCCTCCCACAATATGCTTGCCCACGGCCACAAAAGCTTACAGGGCTTCCCAGGGCAGACACGCTTTTCACCCGGACGGAGAAATGACGGAGACTGGAAGCTTTGTCTACTTACAAATGAGGACTAATCGCTCCATTTCAAAACGCCCCATTTGCAAGCAGATGAAGCTTCCAGTCTCCATCATTTCTCCGTCCGGGCAAAAAGTGTTTGGGCACCTATGGGGCGCTTGGAAATAGAGCAATTTGCTCCATTTCCAAGCACCCCTTAGGTGCCCAAACACTTTTCACCCAGCGGGAGATTGGAAGCTTCGTCTCTTGCAAATGGGGTGCTTTGAAACTGAGCTAATCAGTTTCAGTTTGGCCTCTGCGCACTTGCTGCCTCTTGTGCTGGCCACGCCCATCCCCCAGGCTTATTTTTGGTTAGGGCTTATATTAGACCCACCCCAAAAAATCAGGCTAGGGCTTATTTTTGGGGTGGGTCTTATTTTCAGGGAAACACGGTAATTGTAAGTCTGTGAATATTAGTGAGAGAACTTATGCACTGGAGGAAAAATAAGTGGTTGCATTTATATTTTGCTTAAGGGGCTTCCTCAAGAAAAAGCACCTTTGAGATTCTCACAGAGCATGGCAGCAAAGGTATCAAGCTAGAAATCAGAGATTGGGAGTTCTAGTTCCACCTTAGACCTGAAGCCAGCTGGGTGACCTTGGGCTAGTCACTCTTCTGTCAGACCTGGGCAGGGAAAACCACTTCCGAAAGTACCAAAAACTCCAGGTACTAGTCCAGGTCAGGAGTGAAAAATGAACTCAAAAACACAATAAATAAGTAACTCCTCACAAAGAAGGGTCTAACCAGGAAGCATTTTTGCTTGGCTCTGAAGTAGGAAATGAGGACCCACACCTTTCACAATTCTGTTTGTTTTCTTACTTATCTATCTGTCATTCAGAGGCATGGTTTTGTAATGCTCATTTTAGGCATTTTAATTCAGCCAAATTGCCAGAGATTTCCTTAAAGCTCCTTTCATTCGCTAATAGGTCCATCTTAAAAGATTTCACCTTTTCACTGATTAAAGATTGTTTTCTTTAATCACATGAGTCAGCATGGAGACCCCTTCTGTCCTATCAGCTATCATGGTTAACCAGAAGTGATGCAGCACGTTGCCCAATTCATTCACCGTGTGCAACACAGGAGGAAAATCACTGCAATTTGAAGTCCGTTTCAGGATTCCACTGGGTATCTCATGGGTCCCAGTAGCTGATAGAAAAAAGTAACCCATTTGACTCTAGCAACAAAAAGTTTGCCAAGACTGTCAGGCAAACTAATAGGAAATTTGCCATTTCTAAATGGTTATTTCAGGGGTATTTCCAAGGAAGAATATCTGCCTTTTTAAAGAGTTCCTGCTATAAATTTTATATGAAATAAGCATGTGAAGCTGATCTCAATGAGAGAACATAACCTGGCCATTCTGCAGAATTTTAACACTTTAAGTATAAACATGATAGTCTATTACCCCATAATGTTCTATCCCTATGATTAAGAGATGAACTAAAATACTGTAGACTAAAGGATGCTATTTTCAGCAACTTTGAGTCCCTCTTTAAGTCTCTTTTTTTGTTTGCTTGTAACAAACTATATATTATATGTAACTCATTCATTATAACTTGTTGTATTTACTACTACTTCTATTTTTAGACTAATGATTGAAAGACCTGGCACTATAAAATTCAAATAAGAAAAAAAAAGAAAAGAATTTGCGAACATTGTCTAACTAGAAAAAACTTGGATTTGTCTCTCCTTGGGCAGGATGTAAGAAGCCTGCAAGGCACAGCCCACCAACCCCTGCTAATTAAGTGAAATGATTGTGTTTGTTTTGGAACCATTTGGCCAACAAAAGAATGTGTCACACTGATTAGCAAGAAAGGGGTATGTAATATATGTGTATTCAAAACCAGATGAATGCATTATCCAGGTATTTAGCTGTTTGCTCAAGGACTGACAAAAAAAAGAAAAAAGAAAAAGAAGAAGAATGCTGAGCAAATAAGCTGGTGCAAATGAAAACTCCAGCTTTGAGGAGGGTTATCCTGTTCTAAGATTTATCTGTTTCAGGGAAGAGATAAGCCTTTAAAAATTGCATCAGAAAATGCATCCACAGCAGACAGTATTTTTTAACAGAAAGTATTCTCTTTCCTGCCCATCTAAGGGCTACAAGGTGCTACACTGTGGGGAGAACCTATGCAGATTCACTTCAAAATATCTAACCGTCTGGGAATCATTGCTCTGCATTTTCCTATGGCAGCAGTTTCCACCCATAAAAGGAGCTCTGCCTTGGCAAACAAAAAGTTCAAGGCAGCGCCATAAGCAGCAAGATACAGAAACAAAGGTAGAAATGCATTTAAATTGCTTGTCTTTCAAGAACAGAAGAAGGGTCTCTTATAGGATCATTCACAAGGGCATTTGATTACAAGAGATGCTGTTGCTATTTCATCAGTCTTTTTATTGGTTTAAACAAGGTTTAGTTTTGGAACACCACTTATTTCATTTATGACTACAATCACGTGGATGAGCTTGTACAAAGCTAATACAGCATCAATTGTCTCTTATTTTTACCTTTGTTCAAAGGCATAGTCTCAGATCCTAGTATACCCACTGACCTCCAAATGGTACAAAATTTTAAATGTGAGAAAACTGAAGCATATAGATAAATGTATGTGTGCATATAATGAAAATGCTATTAGATTAAATGTTATTAGACTAAATAATTATTGATCTGATAAAATTACGGGGTTTTTTGAAGACTTTCAAGATGTCAGCACTCTGAAATGTTTCACCAGGAAGGGGCGTTGTCTTACCTGAACGCCTTTTCTCAGCACGGAGATGGAGAATCCACCAATGGGTTGAGACTGTATTCCTGCCCAATCAGATCAGTCAGCCAAAGTTGCCATGCCCGTCCTGGACCATGAGATCCCAGTCTTGACACGAGCGAAGCCATTGACTGACAGCAAGACGTTGTGGCTCACCATTAACTAAACCTGGACTTATATGCCCTATGAGGGTGGGAGTGGATTCTCCATCTCCATGGTGAGAAAAGGCATTCAGGTAAGACAACGCCCCTTCTCCAGCACCGGAGATGGAGAATCCACCAATAGGACATACCAAAGCCTACTGTCCCTGAGAGTGGGAAATAGACTGGTCCCATGTGTTACTTTGGTGTACGACCTGCTGGAGAACCCTCCTACCGAAGGAGGCCTCTGCAGAGGAAAATCTATCGATTTTTTGTAGCGACGGATGAAAGGTGATGGCGAGGCCCATGTGGCCGCTCTGCAAACCTCCTCAATGGAGGCTTGAGTGGCCCATGCTGCGGAGGTGGCTGCACTCCATGTGGAGTGTGCTGTAACCTGTCTGGGGATCGGCAATGCCTCCACCTGATAAGCCCCGGTAATGCATGCTCTGATCTACCTACCAATTGTGGAGGATGAAACCTTCCGACCCCTGGAGGAGTGGAAGGAAACAAAAAGAGCTTCTGAACTGCAGAATTCCGCTGTTCGTGATATATAATACCTAAGAGCCCTATAGACATCTAATGTATGCCATTGACGCTCCAGGTCATGCGCTGGATTCGGGCAGAAGTCCGGTAGCACTATCTCCTGTGACCTGTGCAATAAGAAATTGACTTTTGGGATGAAAATGGGGTCTAGTCGCAGGACTACTCGATCCCTGTGGAAGAAACACAGGTCCTCCTGTATCGAGAGTGCTGCTAATTCAGAGATACGTCAGGCCGACGTGATTGCCACCAAAAAGACTACCTTATGGGACAGGAAGCGGACGTCGCATTCCTTTAGTGGTTCAAAAGGTGCCTTGATGAGCGCCTATAGGACCCGTGGCAGTTCCCATGACGGGTACCTGTGTACGGTGGGGGGCCTAATATTCGCGGCCCCCTTAAGAAAGGAACGGAGTAAAGGATGATGGCTCAATGACTCTCCTGAGTTACAGGAAAGAACCGTGGAGAGGGCGGCGATCTGCCTGCATAGTGTGTTTGGGGCCAAGCCCCTCTCCAGAACGTCTAACAGGTAGTCCAAGATGTTGGGAACCATTAGTTCCCCGACAGACAGGTTCCGCCCGGAACACCAGGATTGAAAGTTTTTCCATGTGATCTCGTATATGCGATTCGTGGAAGGGCGGCAAGAAGCCTGAATTACTCTGATGACCACCTGCGAACATAGTTTCCTTGTTAAGATCGAGTGCTCAAGTGCAGATGGCTAATTTTAGCCACTGGGGTTCTGGATGGAGAATCACCCCGACTGAGTGAGACCCGGTCCGGGGGGATCTGCCAAGGATCTGTGATGGAGAGGCTCCTCAGGTTGGCGAACCAAGGTCTCCTTGGCCGGGGCCACCAGGAGTATCTCAGCTCGCTCCCGAAGGAGTTTGCGTATTACTGCCAGGAGGAGAGGCAAGGGGGGAAAAGCGTAAAACAGACCCTGTGGCCATGCGCTCCGAAGTGCATCTGCTTGTTCTGTTCCCGCGGATGGGAACCGGGAAAAGAAGCGAATCAACTGGGCATTGGCCGGTGATGCGAAGAAGTTTATTATCGGACGGCCGAAGCGGTGACAGATTTCTTTGAAGTCCCTCGGATGGAGACGCCATTCCGAGTGATCTACTGTTGTCCTGCTCAGTAAGTCGGCCTGAGTGTTCGCTTTCCCTGATATATTATCCGCCCTGATGGCCAGGTTTTGTTCCGCCCAGGATCCCAGCAGTAGGTACTTGGACCATAGGGAATGGGACCGGGTGTTCCCTTGGTGATTTATGTGAGCCTTGGCAGCCACATTGTTCGTTAGTACTAATATGTGCCTCCGTGCTAACGAGCTGTGGAAGTGTCGTAGGGCTAGGTGGATGGCTCGTAGTTCGAGCCAGTTTATGTTGTGTCGAAGGTCCGAAGTGGACCAACGGCCCTGCGTCCACTGTGTCCGGAGGTGTACTCCCCAACTGAACAGACTTGCGTCGGTCATGAGGACTAACCTGTCCGGCTCCCTTAAGTCTGAGCCTCTGAGCATGGCTGGGGAGATCCACCATGTGAGGGAACGCTGTACCCGTTGTGGCAGTCTTACCCTTTGCTGGGAAGCACTGAGGTTCTGCCTCTGGAAGGGGAGCATGAACCATTGAACTTCCCAGGAGTGGAGTCTGGCCCATGGGACAATTGCTATGGTCGAGATCATCTTGCCCAACAATTGTGAAAGACTGGCCAACGTTACTGACTGGTATCGGCATAATTGGAGCACTAACTCCCTTATGCTGTGCCGGCGTTCTTGGGATAGGTATACCCGGCACTCCACTGTGTCTATGATGGCCCCGAGGTGTAACAGTCTTGTTGTGGGTACCAAATGGCTCTTGGGGAAGTTTACCGAGAACCCGTGATCCTGTAGCAACTTTATCACCAGTTCTAGGTCCATCAGGGCGGACCGGGTGGACGACGACTGGATTAATATGTCGTCCAGATAACATTGGACCCTGACTGGTATCGCCCTTAAGTGAGCTGCCAGGACCGCTAGGATCTTTGTGAACACCCTGGGAGCCAAAGACAGACCAAATGGTAGCACCCTGTATTGGAAGTGACGTCCCCTGTGTGCGAATCGTAGGAACCGGCGGTGGGCCAGAGAGATAGGGATATGAAGATACGCCTCGGTGAGGTCGATAGATGTCAAGAGATCCCCTTTTCTTACGCTTCCCAAGATGGAGCGGAGCGTTTGCATTTTGAATTTGCGGTATGCCAGATGGAAGTTCAGGCCCTTGAGATCTAGAATGGCTCTCCATCCCCCCAATGTCTTGGGGACGACGAAGAGTATGGAGTAAAATCCCTGTCCTCTCTGGTCCAGTAGTACCGGTTCTATGGCCCGTATACTTAGGAGATGTTGAACGGCTTCATTCATGAGTTTTTTCTTTGTTCGGTTCCAAGGGTAGGGACAGGAGAGGAACTGATTTGGGGGTTTGGAACGGAATTCTAGGGATAGGCTGTGATGTACAGTATTGATCACCCATGCGTCCGTGGTGGTGGCTTCCCACTGGTGAGCAAACTGGGAAAGTCTGCCCCCTATGGGAAGTGCTGACGAGGAGTCATCTGGACCGGCGGAATGGCCGGCTGCTCCCTTGAAAGGGCTGCCTGCCCTGCGCTTGTTGTCTGGGCCTGGGAGTCTGTCTATCTGCCTGTCTCTCCTGCCTATCTTGTCTGGTCTGGAAGGGTTGTGATGGCTGAGAATGGCCAAACCTAGCCCCTGCGCGAAAAACTGCTTCCCTGAGTAGTGACTTTGGCGTTTGTCTTGTCTCTTAAGGAGGTGCTTGAGGATCTTGCGCTTGTCCTTGTTTTCTGTTAGGTAAGGATTTAGCGCCTCCCCAAATAGTTTGCCTCCCTGGTATGTGGCGGCCGCCAGATTCCATTTGGATTTTGCATCGGCTTGCCAGTGTTTCAACCAGAGCATGCGCCGGCCAGTGATGCTGAAAGCTATGGCTCTTGCCAAAAATCTGGCCGCCTGGAGCGATGCGTCTGCCGCATACTCCGTGGCCACTACCATCTTACTGAGGTCCTGGTGTGTGCGGACGTCCTCCGCTGGTATCTGGTTTTGTAACTGCCTGAGCCAACTGAGTGTGGCTCTGCTAAAGAAGGAGGCGGATGTTGTGGCCCTGATTGCCCATGCGGTTGTTTGGTGTGTTCTGCGGTAGGTGGACTCGCATTTTCGGTCCTCGGCCTTGAGGGCCTCCGAAAAATCCCCGGATATAGCGGTGGATGACACTAGGGGCCCTATGGGCTCGTCCACCATCGGTACCGCCAACGCCTCCTCCAGCTCTTTGGCTACATTGTACAACCTTTTGTCGGTGTTACCTGGGAGAGGAAGGGAAGCTGGGGAGGCCCATTGCTTCCGGATCGCGTTCATGAACAACGAGGGGCATGGGATGTGGTGCTGGGTCGTTACCGGTTCGCCGAAGTTAGGGTCCGCTTCCGCATCAGGAAGAACAGGAACCGTTTCTGTTGAACTCCCCGATCCGAGATGAGCAGTGGCAGTGGCCTTACGTAGTAGGGTGACAAAAAAGGAGGGGTTAAATAGCCCACTGAATGAAGGGACTTCAGGTGGGATGTCCTCGTCCTCCGACATTTGGACCTCCTGCTCTATAGTGGCCTGGTCGAGATAAGAATCCTCAGAAACATATGATCCCGATGGAGAAGAGGGATGTTGATTGGTCTCCGTCTCCTGCTGTTGAGCGGGACGGGACGTGGTTGTCCCCAACTTGGGGCCCTGAGTCCTAGCCTCAAGGGCCCGGTCTACTGCCTGTGCGATCAGTATGGCTAAGCGGTTCTCCGAGGGTAAGGAGGCCGGCTCGTTAGGACGTAGCCCTGCTGCCGTGGGAGTGAATGTGGCCTCGGGAGCCCCCTGAGACACCCGGGGAGAAGAGGATTGGGAAAGGCTCAGGAATTCTGGGAGTTGAAGTCCATGAGTCATAAAAGAGCCAAGGTTGCCTACCCCTGACCTAGCAGCTGCCCTAAAGCTGTACCAACTTTATAATAAATCCAGGGAACTGCAACCTTCACAATACCTGTACAAGCTATCCTATCCCCTTTAAAGAGAATGGGACTTCTCCAGAGCATGTTTCAATCTCCTTCCCTCTGGAAACATGAACCATAGATATAACCAGACTACACTTCACAGAGACAATGCTCCTGTGGTTCTGATGAATTTGAAACCTTAGAACATGCTTTTTATAGTTTTTACAAAGAATCACTTTTCCAATTAATCCAACTCTTGCCCTGATAGCACTTATACATATGTTAAATTCAGTGCCCGAATCATCATTTTCTGCTGTAGTAGGTTATTTACACCATTACCAAATGTTTAGGTAGCACGTAGCATGAGCTGGGTTCTTCCATAATTCAATTATTCTGTTGCATTTTTCTATGGAACTCTAGTAATAATATGTCATATAACTCAAAAATTGTAATTTCTAACCTGCTTGTAGAACTGTCCTCAAAAGGGTACAGAATTTCACCATTATTACAGATCTCACAGATGAATCCCTTTTGACTACAAAGGCTGCAGCTGTAAACATGGGAGGTAGCAAATTTTATTACTTTCCCAAGGAAAGGGGCCAGCTTCCCTTCAATAACCTGGAAGATAACAAGAAAAAAATAATAAAATTTTGATAAACTACAGAAAGGAATGACAAGATATCAATTTTGTTCACACTGAGCCATTCTCACTGAAGTCCATTTCCATGTTTTTCTACTGTTGCAGATGATACAATGGATTAGAATACTTAAGACAGAGACTGCAAAAATAAATAAGCAGTACTGAAAACAAGATCCAGTAAAGGTGGATCATTTTAAGAAAGACTCACATTTTTAAGATTTGAGAAGCACTGTGGGTTCCTAGCAAAGAACTGAAAAGCCTTGCCGTTCAGTTGATACATTACATATTATTCTACTAAAGCTGGAGGATACATAGCATTTTTCCCAGTGTGCTGTGAACTGTACAGCATTCTAAGTCTCAGTGTCTGTACCAAGATTTTTAGTATTACTTTGCTGTAATATATACAGTACTTTTGTATTAATACATAAAAATACATACCATCTTCCCATACAGCGTAATACAAAATAATTGATATCTTTCCCTTTCTGAAAGATTTCAGAGTTCAAACAGAATTTTATTAAGATGCTTCATTTAAAAAAATCCATGAAATGCACTCAGCATGTGTAAAACTATATTTAATGGACAGTTAAGCATAACCCATTTATACACCTACCAAATATTTGGAATAGCACAATTTTCATTACAAGCAGTACACTATTGTGACTGATATTTCAAGTGTCCGGCATCCAGAGATAATTTCGAATGTATTTGGAAAATGTGCATTCCACTGGAAGGTTACCTCACTTATACTCCATATACTTCTGTAAGCGATTGTCGAAGCCATTGCACAGATGTGGAATGGAAAAATGTAGGCAGTACAGGAAGTCTGGGAACTGTTTGGATTAATGTCCCCAAATGGGAATGCTAAAATATATGCTTTCTTACAGCCACAGGAAGTAGAAAAATTATTGCTAGTTGTGCAGTTTGACATCTGTTTGGGATATAGGAAAATGGTAATGTTATAGGAAGATCCTCTCATGCTGCACATTAAACAATGCATAAAGGTCACCATCTAAAATTAAGATTCAAAGCCAGCACTTTGCTACTGTTATAACAGAATGTCTCAGTCAGTAACATAAGCAACTTTTCTTGAGGAAAAAAAATGTTCTTCCTTATTTAATTTTACTCCTGAGGTTCAAAAGTCTAAATAAGTTCTAGGGAAGTGATATTTAACAAAAATAGGAAACAGAACAAACAGTGGGCTATTATTAATGAATGGGCATACATGTATTAATGGACATAAACAAACATGACTGAAATGAGGGAACCTGAACTATAAACCAAGAATAGATACTGTATGTCTAGCACCAAGCATTCAGGCTCTATTTTACTATATTACAATGTGAGGTAATTTTTAATGGTTAGAACTGTAATTTTATGAAAAAAATATGAGGCAGCCCTGTACCATAATATCACTGGAGAAGATATTGACAAAATGTATAGCTTGGTAATCCTGTTGGGATGTAGATGGGAATTAAATACAATAGGTATCCTATGCATAACATATCTACTTGCTTCTAACTGGGTTAAAAGGACAATAAACATACACATATCACTGTATTTCAACAGCAAAATATGGAGAATCTGAAAGAAGTGGTAAAGAGACTCCATGATGGCCATATGTTAACTAGGCAGTCTGTAGGTAATCATATTAATAATGTACATTATTTAAATAAACCTATTATAAATATTCCTTTCTGCATGAATGAAATATGAAAGGCTTTGCAAGTTCTGTGTTAGTTTGATGAGGAAAATTAGTAGCAAGAGGAAACTCAAACAGCAGTAAAGAGTGCCTCTATAAGAGGCTAGATTGTCAAGTAGCTTAGGCAAAGTCTCACCAATGAGAATGTATTGCAGATTGTATTGCAGATTGCAAAAAGACTGTTGCCACTAATAAGGGCTGCTTATGGTGAATCAAAGATAAATGGAGAACATGCCTCTTGGCCCTATAACTATAACGTAACCACAGAGCACAAACCATATCACTGACTCCATCTTTTTTATAAAGTTATACAGTGGATATTACCTTCCAAGTCTAAAAAATAGCTGGAAGGTGTAAACAAGCAAACAAAAAAAACCCCTAAAGTAATGAGGTTACACAAATTAAATTTAACATAGGTTAACAATCAGAAAAGATGTTTTGAGTCTGGAACATGGAAAGTACTACTGCAGACAATAGATTTACATTAGTAATTTTATTTTTATGAGGTTTATTTATGAGACTTATATACCGCTTTAAGTGCAAGCACTCTCTAAGCGGTGTACATCAGTAAACAATGTATATATATATTTACATTGCCCCCAACAATCTGGGTCCTCATTTTACCTACCCCGGAAGGATGGAAGGCTGAGTCAACCTTGAGCTGGTGAGATTTGAACCGCTGACCTGCTGAACACAGTCAACTAAAGTGGCCTGCAGTACTGCACTCTAACTGCTGCGCCACCTCGGCTCTAAGGTTATAAGGCAGTAAATTACTTCCTGAATATATTTTACATAGAAAGGAAAATGGAACAAAAACATACACGTATATATGTATACATGTAACTCCAGGCGTTACTATTCTTTCCTCTTTCTTTTCCTTTAATTTCCTAAATTCTTGCAATATTAGAGTTTCAAATAAATTCTAGGTTCTAATCTAGAGGCTGTAATAACCAGGGACCTCATGCTTGTATTTATGATATATTCTGTATAGTATGTTATAACATTATGATACAATGTTATTATATACCCTTGCTCAATTCTGAACAATTTAATTTCTCTACATTCACTTCTAACTGTTGCTTTCTGGTCATTGTACAATTTCTTCAAAAGGCAGATGAGGTGGCTCACCCATTTTTTTTAAGAACTATTCACAATTTGTTCTGCTTTACATAGTCAAAAGCCTTAGTATAATCAACAAAGCAAAAAGTGACATCTTCTTGTATCTGCCTTGTGTTTCTCATTATCCATGGATGTTAGCAATGGGCTCTCGGGTGTCCTTGGCTCTTCAGAATCCAGCATATACAGTATATCTGATAGTTCTCATTCCATGAACTGTTGAAGATTGCAAAATCTTGAACACTATTTTATTAGCATGTGAGATAACCCTAGTTTTTCCACAGTCTGAGCATTTGTAGCAATGCCCTTTTTAGTACAGGTATTTGAATGTAAATACATCTTTTACAGTTGTTTGGTCACTGCTGCATTTTTCAAATTTTACAGCTTTTCTTAGGAATATTTTCTAGGACCCATTTATCTTCACTTTCCAGAATGTTCTAGTTCAGTGGTCCAATCTTAATCCATATCACCAATGTAGAGATATTTTTGTCCAATTTCTTAGTATATTCACATCATCATTTGTTGTATCTTTTTTCTACAATAGATCCTTGCCTTCTTTATCTTTAATTCTGTTGGTTTCCATAATTTTCTTAAATAAATACTTAATTTTCTTGTTATCTTTAATTTCTTTGGCTTACTTATTCAGATATAACTCATGTTCTCTTTTTGCTCTTTGGATATACTCTAGCCTGGAAGAATCATCTCCCAATATCCACGCTGTCCTGATTTAAACATCTGTTTGGTTTTCTTGACAGAGTTCTGTTATTAATTGCCATTCTGTCTTCCGGGGTCATCCATGGAGTGTATGCTCCATAAGTAAAGTTCATAACTTCACTGTGGTGTACAAACCCTTTCACTACTACAAATTAGCAATTCATAAAAAGGCATAGATATGTAATACCCTGCAGAGCGAGGCTCTTTATTTTAAGAATAATATAGGGAGCCTGAATTTATATGACATTCCTATACAAGAACATCTCCATGGCGTTTGATAGAAGCACTATATTGTTTGGAAGCTATTCTGGAACACATTAATCATCTAGTGATATAGAAAAGTTTCCTATAAGACATCAAAGATAGATGTGCAGGCAAAGAGTCATGTTTAGAGAAGTTGAGTGCCTCTTTGTGCCACTGACAAACTTCTACAGCAATCAATTTTCAAACTTAGACCACCGTATTGTCTCACCACCAAATAGAAGCACTTCTATTGTCTTTGTATGGATATAAACATGTTTGGCAACTCCCTAAAGCATTGTTTCTCAACTTTGGTGACTTTAAGAAATGTGGATTTCCAATTCCCAAAATTCCCAGGCTAGCTTGGCAATTCTGGGAGTTGAAAAAGTCCACACTTTTTTAAATTGTCAAGGCTGAGAAACACTGCTCTAAAGTTCAGAAACATAAACTAAGATGTAACTAAGATGTACTATGTCACTCTGTATTTTCCCCACAGGAATTTAACCTAAATTACCTTGTATGCTGAATAGATACATTACAGAAACCTTAAAAATGTAGTCAAATCAAGGCCAGCTATGTAAAGTTCAACATGTAAACAGAAACAAGTAGAGTAAGATATCCTTAGTTGATAAAATGTAAGGATCCATAAATCTTTGGTCAACATATCAACACTGACTTCCAAGATAATATACATATAGTAGATATCTCAAAGACAAGGCAAATGTAGTTCAGTGGAAAGAAGTTATAGTTACTCTCTTTAAATTTAACGAGATTGCACTGTATTGTGTGGCCCTGAAGGCAGAGTTAATAATTGAAGTTACAGAGGTGACAAAACCTCCATGCCAAGTTCGATTGTCACTGGGAAGCCAGTGTTAGAGCTACATTATCTTATGACCCTATCATTGTAAGTCAGTGTGTTAATCATTATCATTATGTAGACATAAGGCTCCTTGTAAGTCAACACAAAGGGTGTAATTTAAATAGTCTGTTCATGATCTGAATTATTTCCATGAAGATAACATTTATTAAAAACAAGGACTTTTAAAAATACCAGTTTAACTGTTAAGTCTGATTTACACCATGAGAGGGTCAGATTTGGAAACAAATATGGCAATACATATGTGAGCATTTAGGGAATAGATAGAAGACTACAGTTATGATTGTGTTCATATAACATGTTTAATCTGATTGCTGAAATGAGTGGTT